CAAAGAAAATTCATTACTATAGGTAGATATGGGTGGTAGGCTGTGAAATGGTCAGATTTGCATTATAGGCATATCATTTTGGCAGCTATATTGAAGGATGGTTTGGAAAGGGAAGAAATTAGAGGCAGGAAAAGCAAAATGGAGGTTATTTCAATAGTACATGCAAAACAAAAATAATAATGATGACCTAACATAGGCCAGAGGTCGTATGAGTTGGAGAGGAGAGGAGTAGTAAGAAAGGTATTCTATAGGTATTGTTTTGGCAACTAATTGGTATATGAGTTAAGGGAGAAAGAAAAGTCAATGAATTTTCAATTAGCCAACCAATACATCAACAAGCATTTATTACATGTCCACCACATGCCAGGAACGGTGCTAGGCAATGGGGAAACAAATACTTGGGAGTTTACATTCTACTAGGGTGATATGACACATTTATAGAGAAGAACATACAGAATAAATAAAATAACTACACTGTGACTTGTGGGGAGACACTAACAGCTGAGGGAATCAGGAAAGTCTCTTGATGGACTTGGGACTTGAGCTGAGCCTTGAGGGAAACAAAGAGTTCCAAGATTCAGGGATGAGGAAAAGGATTCTAGACCTTGGGGATAGTCTGTGCCCAGAGATAGGAGATTGGAATGTCATGTAGGGAGAGCATGTAGGCCAGTCTGGCTAGAACTCAGTTGTACTTGAAGGGAAGTAATATGTCATCAGTCTGGAAAGATAAATTAGAACCAGAAAGTAAAAGGCTTTTTGGGCCAAATAAAAGAATTTGTATTTTGTCCTAGTGGCAACATGGAGCCATTGAAGCTTCTTGATCTGAGGAGTAACAGATTTATGCTTTAGGATGGCAATTTGGCAGAAGGTGGAGTACATACAGATTAGGGAGGAGACAGACTAGTGGTAGAGAGACTAATTAAGGTGCCATCCAAATGTTCCAGGGAAATTAAATACAAAACATCCACAACAAAAACATCCAAAGCCACATCTTAATAGATTTTAATAGATGTTGAAAAAGCCTTTGACAAAGTACAACACTCATGTGTGCTAAAAATCCCTACAAAGCATAGACATAAAAGGACCTTTGAAAAATATAATAAATATCTAGCTAAAATCAAAAGTAAGTATTATATGCAATGAGAATACACTAGAACCTTTCCCAATAATTACAGGAATAAAGCAATGATTCCAACTCCCCCTGACAATATTATTTGATATAATTCTGCAAATGCTGGAATAACAATAAAACAAGAGAAAAAAGTTAAAGCAATCAAGATCAGTGAGGAGGTTATAAAACAATCTCCATTTACTGGTGATATGATAGTTTACTTAGGAAATCTTAGGGAATCAGCAAAGATACTAATTGAGACAATAGCAGGCTACAAAATAAATACGCAAAAATTAATAGCATTTTTACATAACAATCAATTGCATTTCTATATAATAATAATTATTATAATAATTCTATATAATAATAAAAATCTAAGAGACACTAAGAGACTCATTTAAAAAAGCTACAAAATGTATAAAGTGTGGGGCAACCAATCTATCACCACACTCAATACTTGTATAGAAACAATTACAAAGGTCTCCTTAAAGAAATAAAGAACAACTTTAATAGCTAGAAAAAGATTAAAGGCTAGGCCATGCCAATATAATAAAAATGACCATGTTATCAAAGTTAACTTTCAGTCTTAGTGCTTTACCAATCAAATTATCGAAGGAATACTTTACAGATTTTGATAAAATAATAACAAAATTCATTTGGAAAAAGACGAGATCTAGAATATCAAGGGATATTATGAAAAGAAGTAGGGATAAAAGAGGAATAGCACTTCTAGACCTTAAACTATATTATAAAGCAGTAGTCATTAAAACCATCTGGCGTTGGTTAAAAATAAGAAAGGTAGATGAATGGAACAGACTAGATAAGGGAGAACAGAAATAATAAAACTCAATAACTCAATATTTGGTAAACCAAAAACATAAATTACTTAGAAAGAATTCCTTATTTGATAAGAAACTTCTGGGAAAGTAGTCTGGCAGAAATTCGTCATAGACCAACACCTTACACCATATTCCTCAATAGATTCTAAAGAGATACATGACCTTAATATTAAAGATCATATTTTTAAAAAAAATAGAATAGAAACAGATCATATATGCCTCACAGCTATGGGTAAGAGATATATTCTTAACTAAACAAGGGATAGAGAGAAAATAAATAAATTTGATTATATGAAACTGAAAAATTTGTGCACCAACAAAACTTGTGCACCTAGATAAAGAAGGAAAGTTGTGAAATGGGAAAAAAAATCTTATCAGTTTTCTCTGATACAGGTGTGGTATCCAAGCTACATAAACAACTAACAGATATCAAGGTGACCATTGAATCCATGGGAGTTGATGTGAGTACCAAGAGAATAGACAGAGAGAAGAGAAGGCCCAGGACAGAATCCTGGGGGTATACTTATATGTAGGAGCCAGGATATGTATGATGAACTTACAAAGGAGAGGAAGAAAAACAATATGACAGGTGAGAAAACAGAAACACAACAGAGCAGTATCACAAAACACCAGGGAGGATAGAGTATCCTAAAGAGGGGGGATCAACAAAGTCAAATGCTGCAAAACAGTCAAGAAAAATAAAACCTAAGAAAAGGCCATTGGATTTATCGATAAAGTGATCTTTGGCAATCTTGAAGAGAGCTTTGCAGTCAAGTGGTTACAGGGAAGTAAGATTAGAAGAGATTAAGAAGTGGGGGTGATTGGGGCTGCTAGATGGTGCAGTGGATAGAGCACTGGCCCTGCAGTCAGGAGGATATGAGTTCAAATCTGGCCTCACTCACTTGACATTTACTAGCTGTGTGACCCTGGGCAAGTCACTTAACCCCATTGCCTAGCAAGAAAGAAAAACCCCAAGAAGTGGAGGTGATCCAGAGAGAGAACTAATGAAATGTGAGTGGAAACTGAAGTATGTTTTTTTACTTTCTTTATTTTTCTTGCTTTTTTGTGACGTGGTTAATATAGAATATGTTTTGCATGATTTCACATGTATAATGGGTATCATATTGCATGCCTTCTAGATGGGGAGGGGCTGAAGGGAGGAAAAGAATTTGGAACTGAAAGGTTCTTTTTAAATGTTAAAAATAAGTAATTGGGGGCAGCTAGGTGGCGCTAGTGGATAGAGCACTGGCCCTGAAGTCAGGAGGATCTGAGTTCAAATCCAACCTCAGACCAAACACTTGACACTTACTAGCTGTGTGACCCTGGGCAAGTCACTTAACCCCAATTGGCCTAAAAAAATAAAAAAAAAGTAATAATTTTTTTTAAAAAGGAAGTGGTGGTGAGAAAGTAAAACTAACAGGTTTAGATTGCTTCTTTTTTCTAGGTGTTTAGTTATAAAGAGAGATATAGAATGATAGCTTGAAGGGCTAGTAAGGCCAAGTAAAAATTTTTACAAGAATGGAGGAGCTCTGAATGTTTTGCAGGGAGCAGGGAAAGAGTCATTTGATAAGAAGCAACTGAAAAGTAAGAAGAGAGAATGACTTAAAGGGAAAGCTTCTAGAGGAAGCTAAGGATTAGAAAAGGTATGAGTGAGGAGGGAGTGCATTCCAGCCTTGCAGGAAGATCTATGCAAAAGCATAGAGAAGAAAATGAAACACCTATAAATAAGCAAGGAGGCCATTTTGGCTGGAATGGACTGAAAAGGGTCTAATGTGAATAAGCCTTAAAAAAAAAAAAGGTGGGCTTGAGCCAGGTCATAAAGGGGCTTAAATGCCATGCTGGGGATTTTATATTTTAGCTTAGATGCAATAGGGAGCCACTGAAGCCTGAGCTAGAATGACTTGGCCAGGACTGTACTATAGGAAGATTATTTGGGACTAAAAGAAGGGAGGTGGATTAGCAGGCTATCCCAGTTGCCCCGGTGAGAAATGGTGAGAGCCTGAACTAGGGTGATGGGAGGAGATAGGACCCAGGGCACTAAGAGAGGGATGGGGCCTTGGCAAGGAAAAGAGCCACCTTGTCCTCAAGACTAGAGTAAAGAAAGAGAAGAGAGGAACATGATGAGAAAGCAATCTGAAGTGTGGAACTGGGGAGGAGAGGAAGCTTGTTAAGTGACTTGCCTAAGGTCATACAGATATATATTTAAGAGGTGGGATTTGAATCCAAGCTTGCTGGACTCCAAAGCCTGATATCTATCCACCATGCCAGTCTTCATCTAATCTTGCACTTAGGAGTACCTAACATACATTTCTTGAATTGAATCTTGTCTCATTTCCCTATTGGATTATAAACTCTTTGAGGACAAGAACTGGGTGTGTTTTCATCTTTGCATAACCAGTGGTGAACATAGGGTCCTGAGTATCATAGGTGCTTACTAAATATTGAATTGGATAGGATGGAGGGAGGCTCCCTATCTTGAAAGGCCAAGACAGTGGGAATTATGAATAGTATAGAGCACCAGATATCCTTTGAGCCCTCTGCTTAGGAGAGACCTGTCTAAGGACCCAGGGAGGGGAACAGAGAAGCTTTCTGAACTAGATTTGAGCAATCCTGGATCTAGTGCAAAGTAATTGGGCAATTGGAAAGGAAACCCATCTAGGATACAACCTGACTCTAGGACTCTGTAAAGCAGAGAAAAAAGGGGAAATCATTTATTTCTTTACATTTCTTCACATCCCATCACCAGCTTAGACCCTCTGCCCTCCTCATTCTGTTAACCATATTTCCCCTCTTTCCGCAATGCATCCTTTCTACCAACTCCAAGGCTCTATGAAGCAGCTAAAGGAGAAATACCTCCTTCCCTTGGAGGGAACCCCCAACCCTGAAGGCAAGTATTGGAGGATGACAAAAGAAAGGGGAAACCACAGACCTCAGAAAGCTGTTGGTGCCCAGTTGCTTTAGGTGCTCCTTGCCTGCTAAGGCCAGGAAGGAGGCAGTGAATAAAAGATGGCTCCTTCCGGATCATAGCATTGAGAACCAAGAGGAGAAGGATGGAGAGGAGCTGGATCATGCGGCTGTCACCACTACTGCTCCTGTTGCTTGGCCTGGTGCCTCCATTTGCCGCTGCCCAGACCCAGAGCTACCTGAATTTGGTGAACCGATTCATCACCAACTACAGCAAGAATTCGATGTCAGGCAACCTCTTCCGACTTCTGGCTCTGAATCTACAGCCTAGGGCAGTGAGTATCGGGGAAAGGACTCCAGCCTGCCAAGAGGTCCCAATACGAACCTTTCACTCCAAATAATCTAATCTCCTAACTGGCAGAGAATGGTGGAGTCAGGAGACCAGGATAAGAGTTCCCAGGTCTGATACTAGTTTCTGAGATCCTAAGCAAATATCTTTCCTTCTCTGAGCCTCAGTTTCTCACCTCTAAAAATGGGTAAGCATTCTTGAACAGCTCAGCTAACGTTATCTTTGTGAGGAAAACACCTTGAGAACGAGGAAGCATTTTAGAGGCGTGAAGTATCCCTCATATTCAGAAGGTTCAGTCTTGTTTTCATGCTTCTCTCAAGTTATTCCCTTACCTAGAATGCTTTACCCACCCCTGCCTATCCAACCATACTCACACCTCAGAGAATAACCCAGGCTCTCCCTCGTCACAGTAAGTCACACCTATATCTCTCTCTCCCGATACCCTGCTGCAGCTCTCACACTTTTTGGTCTCAAGACCCCTTGATTCTCTTAAAAATTACTGAGAACCTCTCCAAAAAACTTTTACGTAGGTTATCTGTTCATATTTATTATATCAAAAATCAAAACATTTTAGTATTATTATGAAAACAGTTTTGTCTTCTTGGACCACTGAAAGGGTCAGATTAGATTGTGTTGAACGTTGCTTCTAGCACTAAATGCTATGATTTGACTGTAGCTCGCTGCTGCCCTGAAGAAGCTCAAATGAGACCTTAGTCTGAAAGGCTGTTCTGGTTTCCTCCCCAGAACAATGATCCTGCCACTCCCCAACCCCTGAACTTTACCATGATGGAGACCGTCTGCCCCAATACCAAGCAACATAACCTGGATAAATGCAGATTTAAGAAGAACGGGGTGAGTGTATTGCGGGTTAGAAAGGGGGACTGTCAGAATGGTCTCTTCTGGGGATATTCCCCAGGAAGGTGAGCTTTGCTTTCCTAATGCCCTGAGGAAAGTGGCTTGCTCAAGATTGGAGGCTCAGAAAAGCACCCCTACTGGACTGGTTTGGGGCAGGGCGGTGGGACCGCGGTTATCACTGGCACGTCAGAGGCAGATGTCATAGGCTCCCGGTTCCGAGCCCGATCTTCCCAACATCTTCACAGCTGGTGAAACATTGCTCCGGAACCATCTCCTTGGACGTTACTCGGCCCTCTGTCAATATTTCTTGTAGTGGGGTAAGTGATGTCTCCCCAGTGGAGCCCCCGGGGGAAGAGACCAAATCTTCAGACTAGATCCGTAGCTGGAAGAGCTTGGGGTCAATTCTAACCTTTCTACCCTCTTTTCAACCTTGGGCTGAGCCTAGCCTCCCTTTCTTCTTCCAAGCCACAGTAGGAGACACAGGTGCAAAAGTAGGAACATTTCTCTTCCCCATCTGCCACACGCAACCCCAGTTCTAGAGCAAGAGGGGTCTCTGGCCCAAGAGTCCTGAAGAAAAGGCGGGGGGAAGTAGAGGATGCAGTGGGACAGAAGGGGCCTAGACCTGTTCTTTCAGAGAATTAATCACAGGATTTAAAACTACAAGGAACTTTAGAAACCAGCTAGTTCAAACCCTCCTTCCCTTTCAATCCCAATTTGTAGAGAGGGAATTGAGGCTCAGAGATGTGAAGTGACTTTGCCCAAGGTCATACAGCTAGTAAATGGCAGAGCCGAAACAGGAGGTTAGGTATTCTAGGAAAACTTTTTTATTTAATGAATGTTTTTAAAAAAAATGAATATTGAGGAAGAAACCCTCGCAGCGTGTATCCTCCTGTGCTAGCTTAGTCCAGGGGAAAGACCATTGGATTTTGGAGTCCCGAAATCTAGGGATTTGGAGTTAAATACTGGGTCTGTCACTTACTAGACATGTAATGATCTGAGCCTTAGTTTCCTCCTGTCTAAAATGAGCTCGGATTGGGTGACTTCTAAGGTCTCTCACAACTCTAACTGCTATTATCCTAAAGGGCAGTCATCTCCAAACCCTAAAGGGTAGTCAAGTGTCTTTAAATCTACCCGATATTTAAAGAAAAATTCCTGGTGAGTACATTATGATTAGGAAGACATTTTCCCAATGACACCTACTCAGCTGCTGGGCAACTCAGATGGAATAAGCTTGGAAGCTTACACAGCTGCAGAAGGGGGTGGAATGTGAGGTTCTGGACTGTCATGGGTGGACGGTTGTGATTACAGATGTAGACAAATCACGTGATTGCCTATCTTGGGGGAGGGTGGAGTGTGCCCCATCTTCCCACCTTCCAACTGGGAAAGCATGAACCCCTTGGGGTCGAGTCCTGGACCTCTTAGGGTCACATCATACACTTTCCCCTGGCCCCCCTTGGAAGATCACCATAACAGAGGACAGGATAAGATAGGATTCTCAGTGTGCAGTTTTCTCCTATCTTTGCAATCTGATCCCCAGAGGCTATTGCCTAAGGAGTCCTGTTTACTTTTTTTCTGCAGCCTGAAGATATGAAGAGTGGTGGTTTTTTGCATCGAATTATTCGGAGTTTTGCAAATTTCATTTATAAAAAATATAGAATCCTGCTGGACAAATACAGGAAACTGCGGGACACTTTTTCTGGATCAGGTGACAAGAAGGAGTAGGATCTTAGGGTGAATCCGCACCTTAACTTCTGCTTCTGGCACCAAATCCAGCCCTGGTCCCCTTGGATTAATAAACTTTGTGTGAAATGATCGGTTTTGCCTTCTCTATCATAGTGTTTTCTCCAACCCCCTTCTCAACTCAGTTCAATCCAGATCAACCATTTCTTAAATACTTCCCATGAGCTCAATACTGAAGATACACAGGAAAAAAAAAAACATGAGATTTGCCCTCAAACAGCTGCCATCTAGGAAGGGCCAGAGGCTGGGAAATGCACTAATTTTCTTTGTCTTTTTAAAAAATTTATTTTTATTATTTCTATATATAAATATATATTTTATATAATATATAATATAAATAATAAAATAAAAATATTTTATATATTACTTATTTCTTTGTTTTCAACATTCACTTTTATAAGATTTTGAGTTCTAAATTTCCCCTCCCTCCTCTCCCCCTGCCCAAGATGGCATGCAATCTGATATAGACTATACATGTACAATCATATTAAACATTTTTCCACAGTAGTCATGTTGTGAAAGAAGAATCAGAACAAAAGGGAAAAACCACAAGAAACAAAAAAACAAAAAAAGAGAAAATAATGCTAAGCTTCGATCTGCATTCAGACTCTATAGTTCTTTTTCCGGATACGGATAACATTTTCCATCATGAATTTTTTGGAATTGTCTTAGATCATTGCATTGCTGCGAAGAGCTAAGTCTATCAAAGTCAGTTATCACACAATGTTGCTGTTTCTGTGTACAAAGTTCTCCTGGTTCTGTTCACTTCACTCAGCATCAGTTCATGCAAGTCTTTTCAGGTTTTTCTGAAATCTGCCTGCTCATCATTTCTTATGGAACAATAGTATTCCATTACATTCATATAACACAACTTGTTCAGCCATTCCCCAATTGATGGGCATCCCCTCAATTTCCAATTCTTTACCACCACAAAAAGACCTGGCATAAATATTTTTGTAAAAGTGGGTCCTTTTTCTGTTTTTATGATCTCTTTGGGATACACGCCTAGCAGTGGTATTGCTGGGTCAAAGGGTATGCACAATTTTATAGCCCTTTGGGCATAGTTCCAAATTGCTCTCCAGAATGGTTGAATCAGTTCACAACTCCATCAACGATACAGTAGCATTTAGTGCATTTTATGCACTAAAATTTCAAAATGTGTTGGGGACAAGGAGAAAGTTAGACAAAGTGATCTAGGACATTTGAAGAGGGGGGTGATTACTTTTAACTTAGGAGTTAAGGGGAGGGAGCCATGGATCAGAGGAGAAGATATGGAATAAGATGGCCACCTAACACAACAAATAATTTTATTATTGTAAAATCAGGAATTTTTTCCTCTCTCCAAGAGCTCTAGAGGCAGAAAAGAGTGGGGTAGGGCTGGAGCAGCTCCTCTGAGTGCTATATCTTTGTCTTCCATTAGTTAGAGCACTGTAAGCTTAGGCTACCATCTCCTAGTTCCCATTCAGTTTCTTTTGGGCACCAAAGGACTTGCGTGGGTCGTACAGCTCTCAGTGTCTCATCTGAAGTTTCCGACTCACTAGCGTGGGATGGAAAGTTATGATGATTATCAACAATAATCTATACGTTTATCAAAATGGCTCTTGATCCCATGCCCATTGAGATTCTCATCTCCTTAACATTGTGTTAATAGTACATGTCCTGAATGGGATCAAAAGTTAAAAATACAACATTAAAACTCCTGATAGACCAAGGCAGTTACTTCCAGCAAGGTCTGAAACCTCAATTTCCCAGAATTCTCCCCACCTCCTCCATGACATGTTCTCACAAGGGAAGAGGAGGCAATGTCTCCAGAGACTATGGCAAAAAAAAATCCTTCCAAGCATCCCTCCCTCCATATCACAGTCACACAGCAAGTAAGTGTCTGTACTCGACCCCACCCCACCCCACCCCACCTCCTGCAAGGATTGCATTTGTTTCCTGGGCAATCAGCTGGTAAAAGTTCTCATCTCCTCAAGATTCAGCAGGATGGACACTAAAGGGACTCTCTAATGTCTCTGATGTCATTCAATGTCACTGGACCCAAGGTCTCCAATCAATCCCACCTAGGTCCATCTTTACCTTCCTATAGTCCATCAGTCTAAGATGGAGCAAGTGAGTGCCCTTTCCCCACTCTGCTTTATGAAGCACAGATATGTGTACTTGGGAACTACTTCCATCTGGGATGGAGCAAGTGTGATAAAAGAGAGTTTATATTTTCTTTTGCATTTTAATCAAAACTATGTAACCACATACTGAGTGCCTGAATCTGAGCACTAAAAGACCTAAGAAAGTAAAATACCTCATGGGGTGGGAGCAATGATACAAATAGATTTATTATTTTTTATTTAATTTTAAAATATATTCTATTTTAAAAATTTTGGTTAGCATTTCATTTTTGAGACTAGAGGAATAAGGTGAAAATACCATATAAGGAAATGTCATGCTGGAGGAGGAGAAAGCCTTGTTCCAGCTGTCAAACCTCCCAAAAGGAGACTGGCTTATATACAAATTTAGCAGAGGAAAAACTAAAGTGTGCCACCTGGTGGCTAAATTAGATACTGCACTCTGAGCTCAAACTAGCGGCCCCCCCCCCCCCCCCCCATTTTACTTTAGCGATAGTGTACTGCTGTGTGCGGTCAATGATAGCATATTCCACGGTTAATATAATGGAAGCAGGACCCTAGACCTGTCTTAATTGTGCTTCTGGAGCAGGCGTTCTTAACTGTTTTTTATGTAATGGACCCCTTTGTCAGCCTGGTGAGGCTTTTGGAGCCCTTCTCAGAATAATGTGGTTAAATGCATAAAATAAAATACATAGGATTACAAAGTATATTGAAAAATAGTCATATATACATAGGTATGTACATGCATATGTGTGTATATATGTACACACACACACACACACACACACTCACACTTTTTTTTTTTAAGTCCACAGACTTCAGGTTAAGAACTCCTGTTCTAGTGAGACAGATGTCATCATAAAGGCCAATGGGGAGGCTAGATGTTGCTTACATGAAAAAATAATGCTGTCTCTCAGTAGAACAATGAAAGCTTCTGATAAGTTTGTAGTACCTTGCTCCTAGAATATTTCAATCTCATCTCTGTCACTGTGGCTCAGTAAGTTTGGGCTTCTGTCTCCCAATTTATACCCCATTCATTTTTCAATCTGCCCCATCTTCAGCTTATTATTTGTTTCCTCAAGGGAATCATGAGACTACAAATTGGCCAGCCATCCTCCGCTTGGGAGAGAACATGTCTGTGAGATCTACTTTTATGCCCATGGGTACACAAGTTGTGGAAGGGCCTTAGCCAAACCAGGAAACTGCAGAATACTCAGCCACACGTTCTCAGGTCACACGCAGGGATTTATGATTGTCATGTGTGGAGACATTCATCCTAGGATAGTTTTAAGTTTCTGAGTTTTTGAGCTTTCAGCTAATTTTTTTTCCCTGAAAATATTTGTTTCCTTTTTTATCTTCGTTTAGGAACTTTTCTTATTTCTTTACTGGAATTATTTTTTAAAAAAATATGGAGAGAAAATAAATTATATTATACATATAAAAATAAAGTTATACCCTAAAAAACTTATACATATGTACATATATGTATATGTGTGTACAAATGTTTATATGTATAATATATTACAAACATTATATTATATATAATATATCATGTGTGTGATATATTATATACATGCATACACACACACAAACATACTGGGATCTTCTTCTCTTATGATCAAACTATTGTGTCCCAAAGAATTCTTAACACATCACGATGGTGGATGTCGTTCCTTGTTAATGCATTCTATCTGTTGCCTATAGTGGTATTGCACTGTTATTAATCACTAACAAGTGTAATTAATAACAATGTCATGATATTGATTACATTGAAGCTTAATTGTATTTGGCATTGAATTCATTGATATTTGCCTTTTCATATACTCATTATTGGTGGTTACTTTTCAATATCATTGTTAACATGGTATTATGTTTTGTTTTCCTTTACTGCTTTTGATCATTAGGTGGCACCCCACATTTGTTTGCTTGCTATTTACATCACTGACTTGCTGAGTGTGATTTTAATTAAAATTTGAACAAAATAGGGGCCAAGATGTTAAACAATGTGGTATCAAATAGTGGCTCCAGAAACATGAGGAGTGTAGATCCAGACAGCAGAGATAAGATCATAAAAACATTAAAGGAAGTTACAATAGATTTGGCAAAAAGTGAAATGTTCACCAAAGAGTAGTATTTGGGAGACCTCACTTGGACAGTTTTTTGTAAACTGTCAGAAACAGTTGATTATTCAAAAATCGTGACATGGGAACTATAGAAGATGGTATTTGGCACTTGTTCACCAAGCCTCCATCTAAAGAGGAGGGCTTGCTTAGAGAGCTTGAGACCACAATCATCCGAGAAAGTTTGCCTGTGGGTGAGCTGAAATGTTTGATAAAGTCCTTACATCCTTGGATGGTGCAAGGGGTCTGGATACCCTGGGCCACAAGGGAGCCACAAGCCCACCTTAGGTATTTTTTTTTAATTTTTATTTTATTTTTTAAATTTTGCTAGGCAATGGGGTTAAGTGACTTGCCCAAGGTCACACAGCTAGTAAGTGTTGCGTGTCTGAGGCCGAATTTGAACTCAAGTACTCTTGACTCCAAGGCTGGAGCCCTATCCACTGAGCCACCTAGCTGCCCCCCAACTTAGGTATTTTCTAAAGAAAGCCAAACTCATAAGGAATATGAGCACTTTAATGGAGGCAACATGGACCTTTTATACAGAAGACTGTGGGAAGGATCTAGGAGTGGCCAAGTAGTCTGGGGTGACCGGGAGGTAACAGAGAAGGACCCGGAAGGGCCAACTGCCCCAGGCGAATGCCAGGAACCTGGACCACGTGGAAGGGGTCTAGATAGAATCAAGGCGTGGTGATCTAGCATGGAGTCAGGTGCAGATTATGAGGGCCACTAGGAAAGGGCA